ACAAACCAGAACAGGAGCAATGTTCCTATGACCTGTTTGTAAAAGTTTGTGGAACACTCCGGAACCTGCACCATAACTGTGGTAACACGTTCTTTGACGGGAACAACTCATGTGGACGGTGGCTTTACTACTCCTCCTTTTGATGTTCTGCTCATATCGGAAACGTACGATAAAATCGTCCATCTCTTACGGTCGCAACTTACCTTTAGAAGCTATGGTGGATTTCGGTAGAGATACCGGGAATTTATAGATACTACATAGGAACTTGAACCTCCCCCCCCCCCCCTTTCTGAATTTTATTGGGACTCCCCGAGGAGTTTTGATACAACTTAGACAGACCCCGAGATACTCACTCGGATGTATCGACTTGAGTTCGTGATTTAATTCTTCTTCCTTCCCCTCATGCTTACATACAAAAAAAAAAGAACAGAGAAAAAAACAAATAAAAAAAAAGATAGTAAATAATACATACATACTATACAAATACATACACATACACACATCCCATACAAAAATAAAAAATATAAAAAATAAATAAAACAAAAAAAAATAAAATATATAACTAATCAAAAAAAAAATAAAAATGTTTGCTGGTGAAGTGTGACATCTTTTACAGGTATCCGTGACATTTGGGTATATTTTGGAGAGTTTATAGTTGGTGTAATAGATACGGTGGACAACTTTTAGTTGTGTAAGATTGAGCCTGGCACAGGACGTACTATTGTTCACTCTCGCTAATGCGCCATCCCAGACCTCATCATCTATTGCTTGGACTAGTTCCTTTTCCCAATCTTGTTTGATTTTACCAAGAGATGTTTCTGTGAGATGGGAGACGGAATTGTAAATTCTTGAAATCAAACCTTTTTCGGTTGTTAGAGTGTCCAGAATTGAGTCAATTATTGAATCCGGAGGGATATTGGGGAAGGAAGGGTTATTTAGTTTAACCTAGTAACGGACCTGGAAGTAGCAAAATAGATGAGAGTCTGGGAGGCAAAATGTGTCACAGAGTTGGCTAAAGCTACCGAACACATTGTTAATGTAAAGGTCCCTTACTCTGATAAGACCTAATCTCTGCCACATAGAGAAGGCCCCATCAGTGTAAGGGGGGAGAAAGAGATGGTTGTTGCGAATGGGACTATGAATAGAGGATCCATAAAGTCCATGAGCCATTCTAAATTGGGACCATATTCTTAGGGTGGAAACAACAATCGGGTTATTCGAATATTGAGTTGGCCGGCTGGGTAATGTAGATGTAAGCAAAGCCAAAAGTGAGGTATTAGGACAGGATTTGGCTTCAAGCTCACACCAACTCAATGTTGGTTCCTTACTCCATACAATTATTTTGTGGATATTGGCTGCCCAATGTTGCTGTTTTTGATTGAGTTTTATTTGATCATTCTTAAATTGTTAATCACTCGGAGATGTTTATGACCCTAAAAGTTGGATGGTTAGCCACACCTCATCATAAAGCCTATCACTAGCACATACAGGTGTTATCAAACTATTATCAAACCATTGTCAAACCATTGTCTATCTCAATACATCGCAGCTGTTTCAGTTCCTATCCCTGTGTGTTCTTACCTGTTTTCCCTCCAGCTCAGCTCTCGTCTCCTTAAAGGTGGTCTGAAACTCCCCAATAAAGTCGTGTTTTCCATTAGAGTCCCAATCCCAAACTGTGCACTGTAATACACAGAAAAAGACACACACACACACACACACACACACACACACACACACACACACACACACACACACACACACACACACACACACACACACACACACACACACACACACACACACAAACACACCCCCCCACACACACACACACACACACACACACACACACACACACACACACACATTCAGTTAGAGCGCAGCTGTGACACTGACACCTAAACACACACACACACACACGGCATGCAGGGAAATGCCATGCTGAATGATTGATAAGGCGGTGTTGGTGGGGGGGCAATGGAGCGGTGAAATATTAATCTGAGGACGCTGAGGGGGACGTGGCTTAAGAGACCGCTTTGTGTGTGTATGTGTGTGTGTTTAGGCTGAATAGTTTGTTTCTCTCAAAGGAGCTGCCAGATAAGAAAAATGGTCTCAATCACTAGTGAAATATGCGGGTCAGCGGGCCAAGGCTCAGCACATCATAAAGAAACAAGCCTATAAATTGGGACGGTGAAAAATACACCAATATCTGGACTGTCCCGTGGAGTTTGCACAATCAATAACATTCAATTGAACTGGTCAATAGAGTCACTTGTTAACGCACAGAGAGAAAAATGCCTCAACCTTTCGCATAGGTTTTAATGGCTGTGAATTACTCATTTGTCTGTCGAGCTTTGTGACCTTCTCCACTGAGGTCAATCCAAAAACTAGCGGTTAGAACCAATCCAGCAGCACTTGATTAAAAACAACGACCGGTGGTAATCCCCTTATTTTCTGTCTCCCACTTAAGCTGACAAGTGTCTTTCCTTGAAGTGAGTGTGTGCCATTTTTGTCTGTATGAGTGCTTGTGTGATCATTGGTGGATGTGTCTGTTTCATTTCCATGTGTGAGGGAGCGCTCGCTTTTGCAGCCCTGCTTCCACTTAAAGTTGCTGAGAGAGTAATGAAAAAATGAAGACTCTCTGTTTCATTCACTGAATACTAACTGTTGGAAGGAGAGGGAGACGGGGTATACGGAAATAGAGAATTAACGAAAAAGGAGAAATACAAAGCGATAGACAGACAGACACTGCAATGGAGGGTTATGCATTTATGCATTGATCAGTTAAGAGCCCTGTGAAAAAGAAGCACCGGTCTTAATAGAAATCTCTGCATTGCCATTTCTCACTATAGCACTGATGATTCAAACAGGTAGCCGTGGAAACCATTGCCTACGGCCTGCATGTGTGTGAGCCCTTTCTCCTGCTGTCAGGAGCCATGCAGAGTTAAGACGCCTCTGAATATTTAATGACCACGCTCATGCTTATTCATAGAAAGAATAACTCTTTAGGAGCGGATGTGAGGCCACCACTTTGGCACATATATACGCAAAAGCACGCACACAGATCTATTCTGGCACATCAGGTGAGAGTTCAAAGCCCTGACCCACCCAGCCTACAGTGGGCAGTCAGACGGTGTCAGGACGTCGGGGAGAAACTGTCGCCCTAGTTTCTGCGCTGTGTCTTTTAGAACTATGTAGCCCTTGAGGGTATTTGGATAACCCGTTCAGAATGTAAAAAAATATGCTCAATCTGCAGCGGAGCCGTTGGGGAAAGAAATCACCTGGATAAGCTCTTCAGTTAGAGCAAATCACTGCACGAGAAGAAAAATGAGATTAAGTAAAACCAGCAAATGATAAAACTCAAGAGTTGTTTCATCTTCATCTCATCTGATCATTCCAATACACTCATATTTTCTCACTGACACATCTGATACAAATCCAGGTGGTGAGCAAACGTGGTGTGAAAATGGTCGGAAAAGAAAATCTCAATAAAGAAAAAAAAACGGCTTTGTTTTAATGTATATATGATAACAACGGCTCTTACAGTATCTTCGCATACTTAAGTCATCAATACAAAAATATTATGATGAATACAGACTACCGCCACCTGCTGGTGTGGACAGTTTGTTTTTCTCTAATGCAAAAGAAGATTGATGTGACAGTCGGCTGCTGGCTTTAGAGTTTGCGGTGGGTTCAAAGTGCGACTGTTCGACATGAAGCAGGGAAGGTAAAGTAAAACAGAAGACATCCACCATTTCACTGCGTTTGGGCCCTCAGAACAAGAGTTCTTTTAAACCCATCCAGCTCTTTATATAATACAAGAAGCATCAGGAAAACATGAAGGGAAGCAAATAACCTGAACTCAATTAGGGCTTGGAGAACAAAACGTAAGGGAATGATTGAGGCTGCTTTTGAAATTGTTCACATGCTTGAATTGACTTGTATACTTGTGGGTAGGTTGCACTTTGCCGATGTTTTACAAATATCATCATTTGTATGCTGCACAGAAAAAGCACCTTGCCTCCGGGGCTGTGTGGCATCTCCCTTTAAAAGTGCATCGGGTCCTCCTGAGGGAACTTTAATAATGAAGGGAGCTTTTAGCCATGCTCAGAGTTTTGCACGCATGTTATTTATAAGGTCGAATAAAATGTGATCATTATTATGACCTGCATAAAATGGCAAACTCACCTTTAGTTCCCTATCTTGGTCACCACTGCAGAGTGTGTTTAGGGAAACTTTGAAGGATTTCCAAACTGGGCTCAGGTTGTTCATGATGGTCTGCAGCGTACAAAACACATTGCTGTTAATCACAGGCCAGCATGCAGGAAATAATAAATGTAATCATTGTTTGTTTGTGCATGTAATCACCTCAGTTCTGTGTACAAGCGACTCAGTCCCGTCATCATTCATTCTAAAAATCTCCAGAAAAGGGTCTGACTTGCTGAAGAAATCCTTTAAAGGGAAAACACGCATGAAAGGCATTGCCTCAGAACTGGCTTTGATCACGATAAATCATTCATACACTCACAGAATCATTATTTTACACCGTATTTCTCCCTTTCTTTTTTGTTTCTTCTAACCATCCTTTTCCTGTCCTCTTCAATTTATCCTTCCCTCCCCTGCTTTCTTCCATCTTTCCCCTAAGGCACAACTTGTTTGGATTAGTCATCCGTAGCACTGCGCACGTGTGTGTGTGTGTGCGCGTGTGGAGGCTGAACATTTATATAGTTATCTGTGTGTGTGGTGGAGTGGTTTAGATAGGAGAGGGTTATTGGGGAGGGGGGGTGTCCACCTATCTCCTCCGGCCTCCTGTAATAACAGATTGTACTTCTGTGTTTTGTGTGCGATTAGCTTGATCTCCAATTCCCACAGCTCTATCACCTCCTCACACACCTGCCTGATAGCGTTCCCGCCCAAAGTCTCTGAATATTAATTCATCACATATCTAAAGGAAAACAAGAGATGTTTAATCTTTCTGAAAGAACACACAGAATTGCACTAACCTTGTCGTCAAGCTTACGAGCGCTGAAGCAGAGTTCAACGTAATCGTCATTACCAGACAACTCCTCCGCTGTTACCTTTACATGGGGAGTGGAGAGAAAAAAAGGGAGAAGAAGAGGCGGGGAGGAGGAGGGAGAGAGGTAGAGGAAGGAGGTGAGAGAAAATGAGATGGAAATGAGGAACAGAGCAGATTGAACAGCAACATCATCAAATTAATTAGTGTCTGAGTGCAAGAGGTGGAGTGTGTGTGATTTGATTTGTGCGTGCGTTTGTGTGTAACTGTCACTGGGAGACACACCGTTATGGACGACTTTCCAGAAGTGTTTCCCGGTTTGTAGAGAGCTCTGGTCAGTTTCCTCTGCGAGACGATCTACAACAAACAAAGAACACAAGATAAGCTCACATCGTTTTTCTACCAAAGGGACAACTTGACATGCAGTGTCACCCAGGTGTCACCTCACACGTCTACGTAATGCTAGCAAACGACTGCCTACCCTACACATCCAGTGGACAGAGAGCAGCATGGTGGAGTCACCTTCTCTACACCTGTCAAATGTCCTTTTCTCAGGTGTTGTATCCCTAATTTGATCTGCCAGCTTCAAGGCTTTTTTAAGCTATAACTATTATGGGATGGCCAGGTGTTACAGAAACGATGTGACTGCTCAAGTTTACATGCAGAGGTTGGTGAGATGAACTAGATGCCAACCACACGGAGAGAAGAAACAAAACAATTCACTAAAGAGCTGAAGAGGGATCGGTTCATTCTCAGTGGGATCTGCCGTCAATGCTTTAAGTGATACACAGGCGCTTGGCATTCCGGGGCTGATCACTGGGCAGTTCACATTTATATTCCTTCATTTTGCATAAAGAAAACGTGTGATCCTGCCAAGGGAAGGCAGATAGAAATGTGTTAATTGCTAAAGCTGGCATAAATCCTCTCTTATTTTTTGAGAGCAATGCATTGTATGCATGGTCCTTGTTTAATAGAGAACATATTTTGTATATGAGTAGCCATGATTGGAAGTCCTTTAATAACAATGTGTCGTGTATAATCATTTACATGCTGGCTGTGAGAATATCACTGACACAATGCATCTGTGACATGCCTTACTAACTACGGAGGAGCTGCCGCTGTACACACAGAAATCAACACAGCAATGAAACGAATGGCATTATGTTACACCAACACAATTAGAAAACTTTGGTTTCAGATAACATGCTATTACTAACTTACATTGGCTCTGTTGTTACTTTTACTGGACAGTAAATTACAGTCTGTTTTAACACTCTGGATAAGCCACCCCATCTAGAACTTTTTTTGTTGGCAGCGGGTTATCCAATTTCAGTGAACCTCCCTGGATTCCACCTTCTAAATCTCCTTTTTCCACTTCAATTATCTCAGTTCTCCCAACTATCGTAAGCCCACCAGGTTTATGGTGCTGATCACATCTCTCACAATGAAGTGGAAACAAACAACAGAATCTTTGGGGATTTATTTCTGCTTTCTTTCCACTTCCTTCTTTTCTCAGCGTGACTCAGCTGGTTATTTCCTGAAATCAACTTGTTAATTAGCACTACTGCAATTGCAATGTTCTTTTAAAATTCTCTTGGTTATAAAGTGAAGTAAATAAATGAAGCATGTCTTTAAATATTGATTACAACTACATCATTAAGAAGGGCAGTGGTACCATTAAGTGGGAAAATGGCAATTTGTGTTGGAACATGTGCATATCAATGCTTTGTAAACATAGTTTAGAGCACCCTCAGGGCTTTTACGTATAACTAAAGACTCAAGGGCAAAGAAAGCTCAGAGTAATGCAGATAGTGACCAACCTCAAGTGGAAATATCACATTAGGATTCTATGCACGGCTAAAGACCGCCTCTCTAATCTTAAAGTTTCTCTAGCTCACCATGATTAAAGAACATATTACCTGATACAGACTTTCAAAATCCCAACAAGCTCAGTTAGCTTTACAATGGATTACACACTCTGTGATTCTTACCGTCAAAGCATGCGGGCTGCATTCAAACATGTATGGGTCTGACACAGACTCCCATGCTCTACACTGGTAAACATAACACTTACTGTGAGGGTCATACATTCAATTTCCTGGGTTTAGATGCATTCACTACCGCACGTGTTCACCTATAGAAGCATGCTCTCATGCTACTTCTGCTCCTACGGTGAAATCACTCCTATCCGTGGAAAGAGGTGACCTCCGAACTTCACTCACACAAACCATTTCGTTTGAGCGGTCAAACTAACATGCTTTTTTATATTCATTTATGTAAGTCTGGCGTCTAGAATACGTCTCGTTTTTTGAATTGTGTACAAAGTAAAGAGACAATCATAGCATTGCGTAATCATGCACTTTCACATCAAAAGATGCACTGACCTGTCCTAAAGTACACTCCATCGCTCCCAGGAAGTCAGCGTCTCGGAGGCCATTGTTGCCGGAGCTGATGTCATGGAGTTCAAAGCGGAGCCTCTGGACCTCCTCGAAATAGTAATCCACCAGGAAGATCTTGGAGAAAACAGGGCCGCTACTGCTGCGAATCACCTCTGTACGGTCCACCTGCAAAATAAACATGGACACATGCACGGAGACAGCAAGGTTAGTACATCCAAGTATTATTTTATATCTAAAAGAAGACACCTTTTACTGTGGGTTTGTATTGAGTGAAAGGTCCAAGGGCTGCCATAGTTAGAGTGGGTAAATACAAAATAAAGCATATTTTAGTGATGATACAATTATAAAACCAAATTACCAAATATAATCAAATGTATTTCTGTAATGATTAGTCTGTTTCATTTGGTTTAATGTCCAATGGAATAGGAATTAATTGATAGTTTTATAATCGTTTATTTGTTGACATATACATTTAGAGGTAAACTCTCTTCACTGTTTTTTTGCCCAAGTAAATATTAAATAAGTAGCTTCTATGACAATTTGAAAGATGTCTGTTTTACAACTACTTCCACACATGTAACGAAAAACAACTTAAACTTATTTATCTAAAAACATATTTTAATATTGTCTTATACACCCTTGAGTTCTCAAAATGCTTGAATAGCTTTATATATTTTGCCTGAAGTAAAGGCTTTCTGAAAGTGTTGTTTGATCAAACTGTGTTACAGTTTTCACTTCAGATGTAGTTTTTTGTGATGTCTTCATAGTGGAGTGAACTTTAAAGATATCTTTCAACATCAAACAAACAGCCAATGTGAATTGATTTTGAACCACAGCAGACTATTCAGCACTGCAGCAATTTTCAAAAATAGCCACACATTGTTTACACTTATCAACTTCAGGGCAGGGAACATGGATTTATTTTAAATCACTTAAATGGCACAAGCTGTTTTGATGACACAAAGGAGCGACTAAAGTTGTAAAATCGATCGTTGACTGCGTGAAGCAGAAAGGAATAGAACACAAAAGTCTGGCTCAGAACTGCACACAAAACTATCCAATACTAGCAGCAATGACTGGCTCCCTTTCATTGTTGATAACCCTTTGACACACACACAAGCAAAAACATACGCACACACACGCACGCACACCCACGCACACACACACAAACTATAAGTGAGCACAACACCAGACTCAAAAACACACACAAACAGATTTGACCTTTTTCTGACACTTACCTCAATAGGCTGGCATCTCATCAACAAATAAACACACACACACACACACACACACACACACACACACACACAGGCGAGCTTAAACACTCTCTTAACAATTATCCAATTACGAGACTCGGAATCTGATAGGCATTGATAGCATTTGACCATTCCTACATTCCCCTAAAGGGGCTTATGGTAACACACACTCACAAACACTTACACACACACAAAAACACTTACACACACACAGTCTCATGCACACACCCACACAAACACATACACTTTCCTCAGGGGCTCAAGATCAAGTGCTCAGAAAGTAGTGCAAAATTATTCTGTCTTTGGAGACTCCACAAAAAGCTGTGTGTGTGTGTGTGTGTGTGTGTGTGTGTGTGTGTGTGTGTGTGTGTGTGTGTGTGTGTGTGTGTGTGTGTGTGTAGTGGAGTTTAGAGCTTGTGCATGTACAGTCTGTTCAAATGTGTGATGTCTGTGATGACATGTTCTTGTTAGAGTGGGTCACTGTGTGAAGATGTGCGTGCATGCGTGGGTGTGTGTATCTACATATTTAAAAGGAAGAAAGTGGGAAATATGTCTGTCTCTCCCAGAAATAAGGGAAATAGAAAGGAAGACACATAAATATCCACTTCATTCCTCTTAATGTATCCTTTTTCTCATGCTGTGTTCAGCTAAAATACAGGTGGTACTGTCACCGGTGTCACGTCAGTGGGATTGGGAGGTTTTTTAAAGTAGGGGATTCCATCTTAAGTCCCTGAAAGACCAGGCTGGGTCTTGGAGATAAAATGAAAAGAAGAGGGACACAACAGTTTTCCAATTTCAAGTGCTAACATTCTATTGAAGATGTTGTCTTCATCTTTCTTAAACTTTGTATTGTGTGCAGTGAGCCCAATATAATTATCCATTATTCTGGGGAAAAAAGTCCCATTATTCCAAATATCAAAATGATTGGGGCTGACATTTGTTTTGGGGAGATTATATGAGCAGAACAAATACACTGTCACACTCTCCATTTTAAAAGGACAAAATCATTTGGATAAATAAATGTAAATTGTGCAGCCATCTCTCAACGTGATTTTTTTTGTTGCCTTTTGGGAATATTATAATCCATAATATATTAGAAACAAACGTAACCGGCAGTTTAGCTTGAGAAGGTTAGCAAGTCAATCTCAGCTCTGCATGACAGCGTGCACAGCCTTGATTACACACACATCCCTTCAGCCAAACATGACTCCTATGATGTGCTTGAACAATTTCAAGTGTTGCCTACTAATGAATTCATAAGCAATAGGACATGGAGAGTCGATTCAGAAGCTACAGTCTGACTGCTACATCAGGTTATGGACAAATGGCCTAGGTTGTGAAAATCTGGGTTGTGAACATTTTACTGGAACTGACCCTGAATGTGTGAAGTATAAAAGCAAAAACACCTACATAACTCAAAGATAAATATGTTACGATTTAAAGGCCATAATGTTATTTGACTTCAATCAATTGTAGGGGCTCCTGTAAGAAAACATTTCAAATGGCGCCTTAATTCACAATAGAGCAACAATATGTAGTAAGAAATGCTTACACACATCATTTCGAAAATGTCTTTCACTGGATGAGCCTCACAAGCAAGGACTCTTCATCTGATGTAACCATTATTCTTTCATTTTCTGCTAATCAGTTTTTCTTAACCAGAGACACAACTTCATCCCATCATCCCATAACTGTACCTCAAACCACTGCCCGTGGGACTGCATCTTCAGCACCACGCAAGGGTCGGGTTTGGAGAGAGCGTCGCGGTCCGAGATGCCCCGGCAGGCCATTCTCAGCTCTACTTTAGCCAGGCATGGAGAGCTGATGAAGCCCAGCGTGGCCTCTGCAGACTCGTAGATGTTACTCATGCTGAACACACAATCACACACTGTACGGAGAGAGAAAGACAGGAGAAGAAGACAGGGTTACTACTATTCAGATATATAGATAGATGGATAGATGGATAGATGGATAGATAGATAGATAAATAGGTAGATAGATAGATAGATAGATAGATAGATAGATAGATAGATAGATATACTGAAATGTTGACTTTATTAAATATATTATGTCAACAAATGTCACATTACTGTATTAGGTTAGTTGAAACCAAATATATTAAGTTGAATCTAATATTTTATATTTAAACTGAATATTATTGCTTTCAACTAACCTAATACAGTTATATGAAATGGTTTGACATAATACACTTACAGTCAACATTTCAGTTTTTTCTGTGTAGATAGATAGACACATAAAAATCACGTGCACTGCAGCACATTTGAAATGTTGTTCGCTTTGACATGAGCAGATGCAGTGGCCCTGACTAAGCAGACAGCATCCGAAACTGTTCAAGGTCAGAAACTCCTGAATCATGGTCAAGGTCCCCAAATACACACAAATGTAAACACAATTGAGCATTAACAAATCAATGCACACTAGCATTTGGGTGTATGTATACATTCTGTATACAGACATAATTGCATTAATGCACACGCACACACATGCAGTGAGCACTGCTGAGTATCCAGAACAGATCGGCCATGTTTCTGCTCAGGTTTCCAGAGTGTATAGTGTTCACAGTCCCAAAATAGAATACTGTCAAGCATCCAGTCTCTGCCACAAAGATTGTTTTTTCCCATAATAATGTTCAAATTGTAAATTGTGGAATTTAGTTTAAATCATATTTTTCAGGACTAGCTGCCAAGAAAATGGCCCATCATCACAACGAGGGCTGTAGACATCTGCGGTTTTTCATTTGTTCAAGGTGAAAGCTCTTTTACTGCACAAAAATATGTCTATTTCTCCCTATCTGACACAGGTTACAGGGGCTTTTGTGTACAGCAGTGATGGTCAATATGACACATGTGTGGCAATAATGTTTAATGTGAAACAAGGGATAACTCTCTTGATCTTAAAAGCCCTGCACATCCATCACCACCCACCCACACAGGTGTTTTCAATTATTCTGCTTAATTAGATCTGTGTGTGCAGACTCAGCTGATCGACTTCTTCCTCACTCTCTTTTTATTGCACCTGTTGGAGGGAAATAATGTGCACCTTTATATATTTTAATAATGCATGGACTCTTGTGATTTGATGTAATTTCCATCATCGCCCAAACCACCTCCAAGTTGACCGGAGATGTAATTAGTAGCAATGAAACAGCTGTGTGTGTGTGTGTGTGTGTGTGTGTGTGTGTGTGTGTGTGTGCGTGCGTGCGTGCGTGCGTGCGTGTGTGCGTGCGTGCGTGCGTGCGTGTGTGTGTGCAGAATCTTTAAAAGACATTCTGGGATATATACTTATTCACTATCTTGACGCTAGTTTGATAACAATGTCATGTCTGTCTGTTAAATAAAGCATAATGGCAAACCACTGTACTTATTAGGTTGTATCTTATTTGTCTATTTTGAACAAAACATTTGAGTGAAGTTAAGATGTAGCCAGGCTATAATGACATAATAATATTAACAAAATGTAATTACAATTATAAAAGCAAGTACAGAATAAAGGAAATAACGCAACACAATAAATCATATTACGCAGAAAAGGCCAAACATAACCAAAAAACACACGAAAAGGCATCTAAAAATCTATCTGTTTCGGTGCTTACAATATTTTTGCTAGCTAAGCTAACTGTTTTCTGACTGTAGCTTCATATTTAAAGGACATATATGACACTAGTATCAATCAGTACGTTACAGATCCGTTCACTTAAGGTACAGTATTAGATAGTAGACTTAAAAACGCCTTGCAACATCATCAATTATACTGTTATGACCTCCTCCATGTGGTCTTATCTCAAAGCCTACAATCTCAAAAGCAGGATACAATTGACACTGGCTATACATCTATTACTATTACATTGGAAACACATCTTACATTGCATGTATAATTCATCTCAAATGCACAGATCCATTTTCCAAGCCCATAATGTACTGGAGAACTGGGTTGAAACCATTGGTAGACTCGAGTCCAGTTAGTCCAAACTCAAGGGTAACCACTGTGCTCTGATGTGCTAGATGGTATAAACTGAATATTAATGCAGCGGTGTAGTAGTATCATCCTTAGGGAGTGAAGCTCTAAGAACTGGGTCTGAATCTGACCTGAATGTCTCTCTCTCTCTCCCTCTGTCTTCCATAATTCATGTTCCATGTGTGTTGGCTGGTGGTGATTATTTTTAGCTAAGCTCATTGAATGGTTGTATACAGACAAACGAGCGTGGACAGAGCCACAGGGCAGGTGTGTGACATGCAGCAAACCTGTGTGTAGCTAGCGTGTATTTCATTTTTAGCCCCGTAAGAGCCCGCTGCACGATGGTGACGGAGTGTGTTTGAGTCTGTGGGCAGCAGCACATGTCGGTCTGTTACGGGTGACAGCAGATGAAACTGATAAGTGACAGACGATGAGATACTGTTAAGAGCTGTGTGCGAGATCTGCCTTTACAGTAAAGCAAAGGATCAGCTGCCAAATGTGTTGCCAGAGGTGAAACATGATTTTCATATCATTCTTCACCACAGGATCTTGCAATAGATTCTTGAAGGGAAAAAGTCCCCAAAAGTTGTTTAGTCAAGGTATATTTTGATATGCATGCACTGTTATACCCCTCAAATGCAGAGGCAGGGAGGGTTTAGGAATGAGGAGCTATTTGGTGTTTAAATCCTGGTGTTTTCCTAGGTCTGTACACATATATAAACGTGTAGAATCACAAGGCATGCTTATAAACACTTGACAAGCAATATAATTGCAGAAATGTCTAAATGTAGGACTCTTGATTGAAGCAACCAGCACCAACAAAGACGTGCAAATTGCAAAACGCTTTGTAGCAAAGTGGTTTGTGTACAATTCATGAATTATGCCCAAACTAAGCGGATGAGGGAGAATTGATTGCCAGGCGGTGTGAGATGTCTAAAAATCATTCCATACTGTCAACTCGTATTCTCCACACTGTAACAATCAATCAAGGCTCAGAGCTCAATTGCCATGACCCTTGTGTGTGTGCAAACGAGTATAGATGTGTGTCACCATTTACATGTATGTAGATTGACTGTGACAGACGTTACATTAATGAGTGAGCCAAAGGAAGGTCCATACCATTCACACACTGTAATTGCTCAGTCACATATTGATTATAAGACAAGGAGGAGTAACATCTGCATTCAGATGCAGCACATCCAACAAAAAGCTAAAGCAGTGTGTTGCTTGTTATGCATACGCTATATGGCATATTAATCATGAGAGGTGACAGCAATGTGCAAGAGAGAGAACATAGGAAAAGCAGCTGGGTGTGAGAAAAGACAGAGGAGTATCAGAAGTGAAGCAGTCTGGTGTTGCAAACTCACAGTGTTATTAGAGCTGACACAGAGACAGAAGCAATGAGAGTGAGGGAGACAGAGGTTGTGAGAGGGGGGATTAGAGAGATGGAGTGAGACAAAAAGCTGGAGAAAGGAAGGCGAGTGAGCCTGAATGAAGAAGAGGGGCGAGAGGAAAAGAGAGACGGAGAATGAAACAGATCTTTCCCTCCCATAGGGCTTATCTTTTCTTGTAACGCTCTAGTAGAAATAAATTAATGCAAAGGCTTTTGAAGAGTTATGTTCTAGTATTTTCACAAATAAATAATTATTTACACTGTGTACACTCTGTGGATATAATTTAGAATATTATGCTGTTGCCAGATAGAAAGAATGATAGTTGTGTTCAAAAATAAATAAAAAATCCACTAAGTCTTACAAGCTAAAGAATAAATATGATACACCAGGCAATAAACATCTAATGTTGTCATGCCTTTTCCATTATAAGACAAAACAGTATTAATGTCCAGTGCAAATGTTTGGGAATAGCCTCTACACCCCTCATGCAGCCGGATAGACATGCACCATCCGGGCTGCTCCTATCTCCTGCAGAGAGAAAACTCACCTCAACGACCTGGAGAAAAGATCCGAGCGGAGCCGAACAACTTCACCGCCGTTCACTTGACAATCACGGATGCCTCGCCGCCTCAGGACCCATCTCCCTCTCTCTCACTCTTTGTCGATATGTTTTCCTCAGTCCCCTACACTGCAGAGCTCGGCCGGTTTGGTGCTGACAGCGTAACAGCTCTGCTTTCTAATTCCCACAGGACGAGCTCGGGGAGGATGCGCTCCGTGCGCTTGGGTTTACTCTGGGTGAGAGATGGGGAGGAGGAGGAGGACGGTGCGCCACTTAACTAGAGTTTGTAATCCTCTGGCTCCATCAGGGGCCGCAGAGAGCGCACAGTACCCGGGGACCAGCGGCCACCGAGCGCAGTACATTAGCACCATCTCGTGGCTGAAACAGGGAACTGACTTGAATAAAACTGATTTTCCGGTTCTCAGCTTCTATTGGCTGCGATATGCTTCAGTGGTTTATAATAAGCGATGACCGCACACCTGAGACCACTTTGTACTTAATTTAAAGTTCACACTGTGCCCACCAGATTCATTGGTTCGGAATAATCCAAACAGAGTATGAGGAGATGTTGCTCCTGGAATACTCAGGATATTAAATGTGCTTGGACTATGGCTCTCTTTATCTCGAAATGTTTTTAATCTATGTTGTTGGTGTTATCTTTTATACTTTGTTGTATTTTAGTCTCCAATTGGTAGTTCATGGTTTCCTCTTTATCAGACATCTGTGAAATCTAACATGAATTGCACAAGCTGTATCAAAGGTGCTTATACAAATGCATTCAGATGTTTTTATCTGTGCTGAACTGCCCTGACTTTTACTCAAAACTAAATGAGTGTTTTTTTTTGTGTAGCCTATGTTCATTTATGTTAGGCTGCATTACTTATGATTCCCCTATTTCTCTTGTGTCTTCATATTTTGTATATTGTCTAACCTGTTGTAAAATCACTGCTGCTGTAAATCTAATTTTCGAATAGTAAACTTAAAAAGTGCATCCAATATGGTATTACAGCGTTATCTCTATAATTTAGGCTTAGGCCGGGTGCCATAGGCTATTAAACATAAATCAATAAATCAAAGCATTGGTTTATGAGGCAACAGTTTTAAGAGGATATTTGGTCTGAAACGGATTTGTGTTGCTCTTCTGAAAGCCCATGTTCCCTGATAATTAATTCTGATGAATCGGCAGGGACAACAAGCTTATACTATGCATCCTATTTGTCATATACGCCTGGGCTGTATACCACATACTGGTCTCATTATTTATGCATAAGTCCCAGTTTAGACAAACACAATCCAGCAGCCAAGAATGTTAATGAAGAAATAAAACATATTTACACAGGTGGAAAAAGTGCTCAGATACTTATACTTAGGTAATAGTAGAAATACCTGAGTGTAGGAATGCTCTGTTACAAGTAAAAGTCCTGCAATCAAAATGTTACTCAAGTTAAATTAGAAAAGTATTGCCATCAAAAACACATTGTGCAGATTTGCCAATTTCAGAATAATATAATATGTTTTGGTTACAAATATTGATGCATTAAAGGGTTATGAAAGCTGGTAAAGGTGCAGCTGATTTTGTATTACTTCGTATGATGCAGTGTAGCTTGTTAATTTTACTCAAGGAGTAACTAAAGTATGATTTCAGTATTGATTATTTCACATCATTAATCCAAATCTGAAAAGTAACTAAAGGTATTACATACATGTAGTGTAGTAAAGGTACAAAATGGTACCTCTGATTTGTAATGGATTAGAAGTACAAAGTAGCAAAAAAGTACCTCAAAATTATAATTAACTAGTACTATTATGTACTTGAGTAAATGTAGGCTACTTAGTTACTTTACACGACTGCATTTTTAGCCTATCACTGATTTATTTATTTATGTCTTGTATAATATTTAGTTATACGCTTCCCTGAACTTCCCTGAACTTAACTTTCAGTGGATGGTCGGTCCAGATCTGTGCCTGCGGATGAGATCATGCCTGTCTGGGGCAGGGACCCCAGCTTTGTGCGCGCGGACCACGCCCCGGCCCCGGCGTGCGGAGTGTGCACCAGGCTGAGGCTAGTTTAGCACTCAGCTGCTACATCCGGGCGCTCTGCTGCACGGTTTACAAGCCCTGCGAAGATGGCGACTTCAGGGAGGAGTGCATTATTATCCTCCACATCAACTGGACCTAAAAGCACACTGGATAACTCCAACCAAGAGGAAGACGACGGACAGGACTTATGGTTAGCGATGTGTTTCTTCATTTGGTTCATTATGAGTAGGGTTTGTGGTCGCAGAGGGTCCATTGTGCTCGGATGAGGATGGTTTGACAGCTAGCTTGCTAACGAGGCTAGCTAGCATCAGCACCAGACTGACTGGTGACACAGCAGCACTAGCTCGCTTTCAGTTGTTGTCTGTTAATTAATGTTTCTGTCTGCAGGTCCACCATCCTGAGTGAAGTGTCAACCCATTCAAGATCTAAGCTACCGTCGGGGAGAAATGTCCTGGTCATGGGTGGGTATCTGTCTGCAGTCTCCTGGCTAGCCAATAAGCAACGTTAGCGTGCTGCTCATCTCATTCTGCTAGACTTAATGCTGCTCGCTGGCTAAGCTAGCTTGCTTTGGTTTTGATTGTGCTTTTGTGTTGTGAAAGCCTGGTAGCGGGTGCGTCGGCTAACAGAGAAAGACGGGTGTATTTTCCAGAGCGCCTACAATACAAAAGCACGGCCACGGGTGCGCGCATACAAACACACACGCACACACTGACTCCTTTTATTATCTTATAAGCGAGAATCGGGCCGCCTTGAAACACTGCAAGTCATTCTAGCATTCAAGGATGCTAGTTGCTGCTAGGTGAAGATGATGCTGAGGGGACAAGACACATCATCAGCCCTGTGTGTGTGTGTGTTATTTTTATTATGCTGCTGAAGCAGAAAGGGAGCCTCCCCGTCTCGCTCTGTCCTCGTGTCCCGCTGCTGTCCACACACACACACACACACACACACACACACACACACATCCGCCTGGGATAATCCGCAGCCTGCTACTCATTCAAGCTAATCATCGAGTTGGTTACCGAAGCATCTGTCTGTTATGCTATCTCTTACAACATCAGCAAGCCCTGCTTTATGGTGCATTGTGTCCCCTTGACGTATTATGGCAAAGGGCAAAAATGGATGCAGCATAAATGATTACTTATTAAATAAACAATAATAACGTCATGCTATCAGTGTTGAGGCTTTCAGTAATGCCACAACAAGTGTAGATACACTCTGTTGTCGATAGTTGCTGGCAAACTATGTATTATAAAGCCGCATGGGTCTAGTCAAGTGGATTGTTTACAGTATATTTGTGCTGATTAGTTGATTAATGGATTAGGTGATAAACAGTAATAACTACCACTATTTTGCTAATCAAGTAATCACTTAAGTCATTTTTCAAGTAGAATTGCCAAACATTTTCTAATTTTAGCATCTCAAATGTAAGGTTCTGATTTATTTCTCTGTCCATTGTTATAGTAAACTAAATATCTCTGTTATCTTTGTTAAGTTAAGCATGTGGATCAATTTTTTTTTTACCATTTTTGCATTTTATTAACCAATGACTAATGACTGAATTACAGGAGGTTTTGTCAGTTTATGAGTTAATGTGGTTAATCTTTAGGTGCAACCCTTCCTTTATTATAGAAGTAATGATTTCTTAATAGTTATATTGGCATAATTTCAGCAGGGCATGCTGGCATTGATAGGGCTACTACCCATAACCTGTGCTCTATCAATAATTCTGCTTTCTCTTGACTGATTTTGTTTAGGTGAGGTGGGTTCGGGGAAGACCGCCTTGGTTGCTAAGATGCAGGGGGTTGAAGAATTCATGAAAGGGCGTGGCCTGGAATACCTCTACTTCAGTGTCCATGACGACGACATTGATGGTAACCAGCAGCGGCTTGCAGTTTATACATAGAGCTACACATGTCCATGTTGTCTTGTGTTTATTTTTTTCACACTTCAGGCTACTTCTAAAGTATTTATTTTGATGTGTTTAGACCAAACCAGGTGTAATGCCTGGGTGCTAGACGGCGACCTTTACCACAAAGGTCTGCAGGGAGTAGCTGTGCCAGTGGACTCGATCGACAACACGGTGCTGCTGATAACTGTTGACATGTCACGGCCTTGGAACGCCCTGGACTCTCTCCAGAAGTGGGCCGCCGTTGCTAGGGAACACATCGACAAACTCCGGGTCGCCCCGGAACTGCTGCGGGAGCTGGAGCAAAGACGTGAGTCATACTGACAGCAGGCAGGCTGACGAGTAGAAAAAGTTGAACATTTTTTGTATATGTCTGTGTTTCTTTCTCTGAAAGGTTCTTGGCAGTATAAAAACACAAAGAAGCCTCTTTATTAATGTTTTTTTTTAAGCTTTTCATCTTCAATTTTTTAAAGAAAAGTTATGACAATGATAAAGCCAGGTCCTATTATTTGCTTATCGTTGTTTTGGAACATTTTGTTTCTGTGTGTGTGTGTGTAGTTGTAAAACAGTTCCAGGAGTACACAGAGCCAGGCAGTGGGGACGATGGCACCCCGCAGAGGAGGAGTGAAGACGAGGAGAGTGTGCTGCTGCCCTTAGGAGACAACACACTCACACACAACCTGGGAATACCAGTGGTGGTGGTCTGCACCAAGGTATATACTAACTGACTCGCTTATGTGTGGAATCATATTTTACTTTTACATTAAAATATAATGACGTAGTTCCTCTGCATGATACGGCTGACTCTACTCCCTTTTGGTACCGGGTCCTTTTTTCTCTTATTTCATTTTCTACATCAGACACTACCCCCTCAGTGTGGTTGGGATTCTCAGCTGATAGCCACTGCTTGAGGTTCCCGACACTAAATCTTAAATTGCTGAATCAATTAATGGCAACCAAAAACATATGCACGTCAGTTCAAAGATGATGCAAAGATGATTCATGTTGAGTAGTCATGCAGTGGATATTTGAAACCTGTGAAAAATAAATGAAATCACTTATATATACATTTCATCTTCGAACACATGTTCACCAGTGTCTGACATCTACTTATCTCTCCCATCAGTGTGATGCCATCAGCACATTGGAGAAGGAGCACGACTACAGAGACGAACACCTGGACTTCATCCAGTCACACATCCGACAATTCTGTCTGCAGTGTATCCTTTACTGAACATTGTTTTAACAGTGAGCAAAACAGTGCACACACAATAATGTAAAGTGTGCTAAAACAACATTTAACTTTAATGTACACAAGGTTTTTAGTTGAGCTGTTGATCAATGCCACTTACTGCAGTTTCAACGTTAGATGCTAATAATGTAAGGCATTCATTATTCATAAATATTGGTGTTTATTCTCTCTTTATTGATGAAGGATCGAGATCTAACGTGACCAGCAAAACACTTTTTGGTTGTCAGGCCAAAGGCAAAGTTCCCAGCAGTACCGTTATTGCTATATTCTTGCCAATGCAAGCTGTGTCTTGGCCTTAGCTGTTGATATTGCTTTGTTGCAAAGAGAGTTTCATAAAGGTCTTGGATTACACAGTATTGCTTGAAATAGTCTGTTTTACAAAAACATTTCTCCAGTAAATGTGGAAAAGGTATTAGATTTTCAAGGGTTATTGCGTTAGCTGTCCAAGAGTCTGTGTGCTGGAAGCAATTGGTGAAAGCTGTTTTCTGATTTCTATAGTGATACTGTTTTAAAAAGGTTTTCTGTCACTATGGCATTAGTTTTATTTTTGCTTCTGTATTTCAAATTGGTGGCTATGAAAATATTCTTGACGGCCATGTCAGATGGAGCGTCTCTGGTTTACACATCAGTGAAGGAGATGAAGAACCTGGACATCGTGTACAAATATCTGGTCCACAGACTCTACGGCTTTCCCTTCCACTGCCCGGCACAAGTGGTGGAAAGAGATGCAGTCTTCATGTAAGCCTGCTAATGTGTGTGTGTTTGCATACTGTACAGCTGTGGGGCCACTTGTATTTATTTTGTAACCCTGGCTTTGCTCTCTCAGTCCCTCAGGCTGGGACAATGAGAAGAAGATTGCCATACTTCATGAGAACTTCCAGACAGTAAAAGCAGACAACAACTTTGAGGAAGTAATAGTCAAACCGCCAGTCAGAAAGGTACAGAGTCCTGTAAAAAAAGAAAATGTTTTCTTCGATTCTCTAAGGCAGGGGTCGGCAACCCCTGGCACTGGCACGCGGCACCGTAACCAGTGGCACACTAGGAATAAGTGTGCAAAATATTTAAATTGTATTTTCGGATCCTTAACGAGACCGCCGCCAGAGCGCGTCTCCCCGTTACCTGCAGAAGGAAGCCATGCACGCAACGCAGCCCCGCTCTCTTTATCTCCAGGTGACTTTCTGCCGCTTTCCTCCGCGGTGCAGTGCTGATCGTTTCACCACGGAGGAAAGCACTTCACTAATTGCAGTACCCATAAGGAGCTGTAGAAAATGCCGCAGTTTTTGCGTGGCTGTGTATTTAGTTGAAAGCCCAGTGGCGATCTGCTGATCTCTCATCGAAATAATATGCTACAAAGGGGCGGACTGGCCATGTGTGTTGAACTTTCCTGTCGGCTCCCAGAACGTAGTCGAGGAGGGCAGAAGCAACAAGCTTCAGGTTCAATAACCCACTTTAGCTTAAATGACTGGAGAGAGGCGAGCTCTTCTTGGGAGGCCGTTGCGTTTATTTAGCTGTTCTTCTGTTTCACAAAATACATCACCGACGGACCTCTGTTTTTCTGCTTCCTCGTTTCACTTCCAGAAACATACACACGTTCCCTCACTGTCGCTCTACCATNGCATTTCGTATTAGTATAACGGTACCACTTTACAATGAGACTACCCTTATAAAGGATTCATAAAGGGTTTATAATTAGGTTATGAATTAGGTTGTAAGCACTTTTGCTTACAACCTAATTCATAACCTAATTATAAACCCTTTATGAATCCTTTATAAGGGTAGTCTCATTGTAAAGTGGTACCGTTATACTAATACGAAATGCTACATTTTTAGCGATGAACATGTTTCAGACTGCACCTCCCTCTGCTACTGAAGGCTGTTGTTGTTGCCTGGTCATGGCAGCCATGGGGTACAAGAACATTTGGAGAGACACAGCTTAGTTACTAATAGAAGTTACTAATAGAAAAATAACAGGTCAAATAAAATAAGGAAGCTCAAAGTAAAAAGTGCAAACTAGCAGGAACATCTGCAACAGGTTGCATGCACAGTTGGCGAAGGTATGTACATATATATATATATATATATATATATATATATGTGTATATATATATTTGTGTATATGAGTACATGTATTATTGTTATTATTCTTTATTTCCTTATCTATTAATTTTCTTTTAATATTATCTTTTACATTACTTTATTTTTACCTATATATGTATCTATTTATTTATTTACGTTACTAGCTAGGACCGGGAGGGGAGGGGGGGAAAGGGAAAAATATTGACAGTATAAATGTAAACTCATTGTGCCTGACTCAATAAAAACTAAATTTGCACACGGCATCTATTGCACGTCTGTCCGTCCTGGGAGAGGGATCCCTCCTCTGTTGCTCTCCCTGAGGTTTCTCCCATTTTTCCCTTTAAACTTTGGGTTTTCTTTGGAAGTTTTTCCTTGTACGATGTGAGGGTCTAAGGACAGAGGGTGTCGTATTGTCATACTGATATTCTGTACAAACTGTGAAGTCCACTGAGACAAATGTAACATTTGTGATATTGGGCTATATAAATAAACATTGATTGATTGATTAAATAAAAATAAAAAAACAGCAAAATGTGACATGTTTGAAAATGTAAATATTGAACACATACATCCTTTGGAAATAAAGCTATTATTTTGCCAAAATAATGTCCACACATTAGCATTTATTAACAAACATTAGCTATTTGTAAGTAATGATACAATTATGGATCAGCAAGCTGCTTAATGTAATTGTATGAAACCTCTTTTTGTGACATGACATAAACATCAATGTGTGATTTTGCCCAGCTGCAATGGGAATGCATCAACCCTAAATACCAGATGAAGAAGAAGAACTACAGAAACTCTGGTGTTGTTATTCTCAACCACTGTAAGGTGAAGTAAAACCATTTAATATCCTTCTACTTCCTGCTATCCTCCCTGCACGTGTCTCACAGGGCAAGGGCTACACATAATGAGTATTGTTATTGTTGATTAAAGATTCTGTGTGGGGTTTCCTATCAAGTAACAACAGTTATTTACTTTCACTGTTTCTCACAAAGACACATTTTGTCTTTCTTTGAATGCATTTCTCCCCTTATTAACATTTGCAAAATGTTTTTGACTTTTCCACATTTGCTTGCTAGCAGTCTTGTTCTCTGCTGCCTTTGTTGGTCTCATTTCTCCGCTCTGTCATACATTACCAATCAACTTAACTGGTTAGTTGTTTACTGTTTAATGTGGTAACAGACAGCTTTTCAATCTTCTTCTTGTATCATTAGTGAAACGGCTACAATCAATGATGCAGTGAAGATCTATTATTGTGAAAGGGAGAACGCGACCTTGACACAGACTGAATGGCCTTGTATAGCGAGGTTTATAGGGAACAACTCTTAACACTGAAGGTGTCATTAGTCTTCACCCATTACCTTGTACATTTACTTCGTAGTGATAAGTTAAAGCCAAAATGTTATCTAATGCCACATGAGTCATTACAGTGAAATATTTCAAACACACAGCCCAAGGTTGTTTTTAAATTGCCTGTTTTGTCCAACCTTGAGTTACATAACAAGGATCGTAAAGTTAAAAGTAATAAAACAGAGACCACCAGTAAAACTATTGACTCCTGTACTACAGTATACAAACATTATTTGTGACTTGGTGTTATCTAAACATTTCATTATTTTAGCTCTAATAGCGTGCCGAGCATCAACATAATTCAGCTTTTATTGTATCCTACCTTGAATTCATGACATCTCTAAATCTCGGCACTCCTCTTTGACAGATCATCAAAATGTATTCCTTCCTGGAGTACATCATGGGAGGCTGCCAAATTCAGTTCACAGTACGTTTTGTCACATATAATCTCCCCAATATTTATAGCAGCATGTCATTGTCTGTCCATTCTCATTCAAGCTGTGTGTGTGTGTTTCTGTCTCAGGTGGCAATAGACTTCACAGCATCCAATGGGGATCCCAGAAACAGCTGCTCCCTCCACTACATCCACCCCTACCAGCCCAACGAGTACCTCAAGGCGCTGGTGGCTGTCGGGGAGATCTGCCAAGACTATGACAGGTAGGAACTACTCCATCAATCCTCATTTATCAAATCCTGACACCTACACACACACACACACACACACACACACACTCTCTCTCTCTCTCTCAAACACAGACACATACAAACACACACACACACTCTCTCTCTCAAACACAGACACACACACAAACACAGAAACACACACACACACACACACACACACACACACACACACACACACACACACACACACACACACACACACACACACACACACACACACACACACACACACACACACACACTGGCTCTTCCCTCTCATGGTTTTGCACCCATCCTTTGGCCTCTGTACCTTTCTCTATTGTTTTCATTGAATCCTGCGCTTTTCTCTTCCTCCAGTGATAAAATGTTCCCTGCTTTTGGTTTTGGAGCACTGATACCACCTGACTTCAAGGTAGGACATTTGGGATGTGTGTGTTTGTGTGTGTTTGCAGTAGCAGAGGGAGTTCTGGTAACTCAAGATTAAGATGTAATACCTCCTTCGAAAGGCACAGCTTGCCTTTGATCAACATGAAAAGAGAATGCATCTGCCGACCTGTAAATTGGACTGAACGTGTTGTAATGAGTGTTCGCTTTAACGTGCCGGTAAAAAAAAAGCCCTGTGTTCTCTCCCCCACATGAAGGTTTCACACGATTTCGCCGTGAACTTTGATGAGGACAATCCTGAATGTGCTGGTGAGCTTTGAAGCAAACTTCACTTCATTAACACAGACTTCTTGACTCACAGAAATGTTTATTAATGCACCACAAGATCGAAAGCAGTCTTACAATATCACATCTCCACGTCTCTCATCTCTCAGTCTCATATTTATCCTTCCATATCAATCTCCACTCTCTGTTTATTCCCCACAACCCATACAAATACACACACTTTAACACACACATACATGCAGCCAGGAGATTTGTCAATATGCTGCAAGACGTATTCCAGCCTCTACGATACCAAAAAATAACAACACTAATCTTTATGTGTGAAATAGGCTTCTGCGCTCTTCTCCCCACATAAGCGTTCCTGCTGTGAAGGTGTTTGTTAGCTTTGGCTCATGTGGACCAATAGTTTTTGAAAAATGCCCAGTCACCTAGAAGTGCAATCACAGGCGCAGATTTACTTTAGCAGAAACCTTTGCAAGAACAAGAACTTTAACTCTGAGAGGTCAGTGCAGCGTGAAACACGGACAGATAGAAATGGCGAAACAACATGTGTTTGTTTGTGTGTTTTTTAGGGATCCAAGGTGTGGTTGAGGCATATCAGAATTGCCTCCCTAAGATCCAGCTCTACGGGCCCACCAACATCGCCCCGATCATACAGAAAGTGGCCTCTTCTGCGTCCGTGGAGATGCACACAAAAGAGGCCATGGTGAGGGAGAGAATGAAAGACATTTGGAAAAAAAGAAAGATGCCATTTTGTTCCTGTTGTTGTGATTTTTGGTGTTTGCACTGGCACACGGGGGGATGAGGGAAAGACAATGATAAGGCATAAAGTGAGACATCAGATGGGAAATAGGGAATGAAGCAGGGTGGAAAGGGATGCATTTTAAAAGAGGGAGGAAGTGATTTATATTCATTTAATATCAGGCATACATTTCAGAGCCCAAATTCCTCTCTGCCTTAATGCCTCTAGCTTCTCTATGTCTCTCTTGTGTATTAGAATAGAGTTTTATTTAAATTAGCTGCTGTCAAGAAGTCACTTTTTAAAACATTAGAGTCATTGAACATCAATTCCTCCTGCCCACACCCTCCTGCATCCTCTCATAACTTTCTCCCCACCAGGAATACTTCATCCTGCTGATCCTGACAGACGGCGTGATCACCGACATGGCGGACACGCGAGAGGCCATCGTGCACGCTTCCCACCTGCCCATGTCAGTCATCATCGTCGGCGTGGGCAACGCTGACTTCACAGACATGCAGATATTGGACGGGGACGATGGGATCCTGCGTTCACCAAAGGGCGAGCCGGTCCTCCGCGACATTGTCCAGTTCGTCCCCTTCAAGGACTTCAAACATGTGGGTTTCAGCTAAGAGGAGGGGTGAAGGGCGAGGGATAGAAGTCTGCATCTCTGGAAAAATCATAGAGCTTTGATAAATGCAAACCAGGCAGTACATTTGAGTAATCCTCCAGGGAGGTCAACATCAAGGCATATAGAAATGGGGCACTAACTAACAGTGCAGCAGACTGCGTTTGCACTAGAAATAAATTGCACTAGATGCAGTTTTTCAGCTATTTTTGTACCTTTGTGCGTAACTACCTGCTACCGGGCTTCCTGCTCGAAGAAAGTTAAGAGCTTTCCCAAGCTGAATAACAAAATGATAGGATAAAAGACATGTAAGGTCACAAAAGAGTATCTACATTATAGCATTTCACATCAAGGCCAGAGGCTTTTAAAAAGCTTCTGAGTAGGGCTAAGTGTTACTTAAAATCTTTCAATACCGTTGCCAGAACAACACCTGAGGCTCTGTTCACAAAAACAAATTTCCACAAATTGCATCATCTTTTCTTCTTCCTAAATGTATACAAGCACATTTCTGATTTCGAACAAAGGTAGGCCAATGGCAGCCTGTAATTAACACCTGACCCCCGCAGCAAAATTACATAACCCCCTTCCAAAAGCACTTTTTACTATCATAAGTAACATTTGAACTTTAACACGAGTTGAATGAATGCCCCAAAAGTCAGCCATACAAACTGAGGTTACTGCGCCTCATTCTGCAATGTGCTATTTTAAGCAGCATGTAGATGAATAAAACATATTGAAAATATAATCCTTTTAAAGTGGGATTATATAACATTTGAATGAAGGAAAAACACAATCCTCCTCTTACAAATGAGATGTTCAACTCATAAGCAAAGAACACACCCCTGTTTAATTTGCACTCTGTAGTTTTTCAAATACAGCCTTATTTGGTTCAGTATGACCAACATTGACTAATGTTAGCAAAGTTTTGATAGATGTTGCCTTGTAGCAGACATCATTGAGTTAGTTTGTTTTCTTGATGACATTTCTTATTTTCTACATTATCCTGTTGAGCAAAATAACATAGCTTTGTGTTTGAGTTCACTTTACAGTCTACATTTCACAGCTGTGGCCAACCGTCAGTCCCATTTGACCATGACAGATTTGCTTCTCACAGAAACAAATAGCTGACATTTGACCAGAAATGGCATGCTGGTGACTTTTTATAAGGTCACAACAACAGCACTTTTATCAAACCATAAATCAAGCAACACACTGTTTTCTCCAACACTGATCATTCCTCTCTTCTTTTTTTTTTTACAAATGAGTATCTTTATAAGCTACTGTGGCCCAATGGAGAAAGTGAGATCTGGCATTGCCTACAATCATAAAACAAACAAATACGCTTACAATTTTAAATAAATGGCTCTAAAATATATAAACAAACAAAACATATTGATAAGTGGTAGACCTGTGTGGATGAATGGATTTGTATGAGGAGATGTTTAATCAAAAAGTGGGTAAACCTTCTTTGTTGTTTCTTTAAAACAGAAGTCAGTTCAATAGCAAGCGGTGCTATAAGTCAAGGACAGACTGAGAGACAGCGTAGAGAAAGTTCTTCTTTAGCGGTGGCAGTGTGTTTGGGTGTGTCTCTGTGTGGGTGTAAATTAGTTGTGTGGGTGTCAAGAAGTGCTGTATTTAGAGGGTAGCAAGCGTGAGTGTGTGGGCGTAATATGCTTGGCTTGCTCGTCAAAACACATAAGCTGTGTGCGCACTGTGTGTGTGCGCGTGTCTTCCTATCTGGTGGCATTCATTTTGCCTGACTTTGACAGCGTCTATTTTGCCGGGTCGGTTATGGTGAGTTTGTTCTGTGACAGGTTGAGGAATCAACAAATTACATTCCAGCTTAACAGAAAGAGAGCGGGGAGAAGGAGAAGAAGCATATAAGAAAAACAGTCAGAGAGGGGAGGTGGGGAATACATCTGAATGAACAGAGGTGGATGCTGGTGGGAGAGAGTGCTGGTGGTGGTGCTGGAGGGGGGTCAACAGGAGACCGGAGCTAAAGACAAAAGGGAGCGAGGGAGTGTGTGACAGAGGTGGAGAGGTGATTTTCTGCTCTGTCGTTTCTTTTCAGAAGGGATTAGCAGGACGGAGCTTCTGTGAGACAGGCAGAGTGTGGGATAACAGGTAGATAGGAGCCGAGGAGAGAGAGAGGGAGGAAGGGTGGAAATGAGAGGAGGGAGGGGAGTTGGGGTGGGTGCTCTTTGATGGTGCATTGTCTCTGGGAATTATGTGAGACGGAGTACGACAGACTCTCTGACTTTGAGGGGTTCGGAAGTGTGTGTGTGTGTGTGTGTGTGTGTGTGTGTGTGTGTGTGTGTGTGTGTGTGTGTGTGTGTGTGTGTGGCGCAGGAGCATGTGTGTGTGTTCATGCAGACGAGTGGCTTCATGTACAAAGAAATATGTTTGTCTTTTTCTCTTTGCTGATCATAGGTACAGTCTTCAGTGTTATTCATATCTGTTGTACTTTTGCTGTAGATTCAAAAGTAACAGTATTTCCCCTATTCAAGTCCTTCGAGAACTGACACAAATCTGCTTTCTTTTACTTGAATGCATTCTCTGTATTATCATATTGATTTCAAAATGGTTATTTTGTGCATGCATATGTAAAAATAAATCATATATGGTCCATATATGGAATGCATAAGATACAGATATATAAATGTACAGAAATGATTGCCTCCATTACCTTCCAAGCCTACTTCCATACAATGAGTCTGGAGAAAACAATAGATCAGAATACAATGAATAATAATAAACACTTCACAGCATGCATATCATGAATACTTTCATAGGGTGTCTTGCCCCTTAAGAGTATCAGAAACATTTTCTGAGTCAAATAATAGCAAAGTAGGAAAATAAATGGCACTAATTACCATTATTGACTCATACAGCACTGTACTGCACCTACGTTTAATATTCATGGTCCTTTACTTTTCCCTGTAAATGTTATTGCTTTTTTAAATTATTTTCCAATGTGTTTTTTCAAGTGCCATTTTGTGAGCACATAGACACCAAGCTATGGTAGGTCAAAAAGGTGAAAGCAGGGATGTTTTGAGGTTGTCAAATGAGCTTGTCCGATCGCATCAGTCTCACTCATTCAGACCTTTGACAGCATCTGGCTCAACTGTAAATCTTAGCATCCTGGAATCATGCATGGCTAAGTGATGCGTGTTGTAGTGACGTCTCTCTTCCTCTCTCTTCCTCTCTCTTCCTCTCTCTTCCTCTCTCTGTGCTTCCAGGCCTCCCCAGCTGCACTGGCTAAGAGTGTTTTGGCAGAAGTCCCTAACCAGGTGGTGGATTACTACAACGCTAAAGGCATCACACCCAAGTGTATGTCTGACTATGAGTCCACAAGAACCTTCAGCCCCTGACAATGGACTACATGCAAACACACTCTCAAATGCACAAACACATATGTCATATACATATACATTTACGTACTGTATAATACAAATGTACCCATGTAAAAGCACAAGCACACATACACACCAACAAATATGTACACATAACCATATTACCTAAATACATTAGTCTAGCTCAGAGAATTAGCTCGTTCTGGTGAAACAATTTGAACCACTCCATTGGTGACTATTGCATGTTTGGCCATAATGGCATCACCTTGGAGATTATTATTACCTATTGTATATCTACAAGATGTTTATAGAAATAAGAGCAGTCTTCTGAACCTGCATGCAGAGTCAGACCATAACCCACCCAAAGAAATGACACTTCTACCTTATTTAGATAACTAGCAAGTACATAACCCAAAAGATGGGCAAAGCCAAAATATGTGACTGCATAGCCCTAAATGCTTGAAATTAGCAATGCAAATGTTATTTATGGGAGTGGTAGAGTCCCTGTTAGTGTACCGCATAAATGCATGAATAATTCAGTTCCTGCTAATATCCAATCTCCAGTCCCACTTGCTAGTTATGAAATAAAGTATCTATGTCATTTGTGTGACATTCAGGGTTGTCTTGGGTGTTTTGGGTTCTTTTCTACAGATTTGTTTGAGATTTTGCTAAATGGAAATGAACAAATGAATAATTGTAATAATTTCTTAATAACCTTCTTACATTGTAAAGAGCTTTGGGAAGATAGCAAAGCGTGTGTGGTAGACTCTCATCTGTGAGCTTTTCTGTATTCTGCATGTTGATTATAATAAAGACAAGTTGGTTTCTCACTCTTGTGTGATCTGATGTTTGTGTACATTTATAATTGTATTAAACATGTTGGGGGAACATTGTTCAAATTGATGCCAAATTGGGACTTCCCCTTTTGGGACAATTTGGAAACACATTCAACTTTATATTTAGATTAAAATATGAGTATGCAGTGATTATAATCAATTTAAGGTTACGTGTATTCCTCCTGAGAAAAAGCTAAATGTATTCAGGTATCCAGGGTGGGGATATAATATAGAATAATACAAATATACTGTAGTCTATTTAATTATTTTTCATGTAAGCTCCTATTTCTCTGCATGTTTGCACTGAATATACATACTATTTGTAGAAGCAGATCTATGTGTCAGATATCACACATGTCTGTGAGTCAACACTGTTATATGTGTGTGTGTGTGTGTGTGTGTGTGTGTGTGTGTGTGTGTGTGTGTGTGTGTGTGTGTGTGTGTGTGTGCGTGTGTGTGCGTGTCTGTGTAAATTAAGTGTTTGTGGCAGTTTCTCTAATAGAGTTCTGGGTCATGACATCTTGACATCTCTCTTTCAGTCTCTCTAAATCTCCCAGGCAGACATTAAAATGCAAGAATAAATGATCCCACAGACCTACATTTAGTTAATTAGGGAAAACCAAAGTTAGGCTTTTCTGAGAGTGTACTCCATACGTGCCTCGGTATCTGACAGTCAGATCAGTATTCACCACACGAGCCTCCGGATATCTGTTTCAGAGACAAATATCAAAATACTTACAGAGACGATTAGTTGTATAAAGGCAAATTGCACCTTCTGTACTTTTATGTTCTTGCCTTTTACAGCACCTATTATTGTCTAAAGCCATACTGTACATATGTATTAAATTAACTGGGACATGGGTGCAAAAGAAGTGACAATGATTTTCAAAAAACAGTACAGTACAGTATTATACTGTAATTCAGTAGACCACTATATAGGTGCTCCAAATTAATAGTACATGTTTTATTTGATAAGAAATAACAATAACATTTATTTCGCTTTTTTGAACATAGTTTCTTTATTATTGTTTCTGCATTCATAGCTCCAGAACTTCTATGTGAAATGACCTCAAGGTGAAACTGCTGTGTCAACTTTGTTTCCAAGGTCAAGAATTAACTAATTGTTTTAGTTCCTGTTGGGGCTTATGAACCAAGCCGTCAACAAATATATATTCATATAAACATAATAGTTTCATTGCTTTTTTGGTAAGAGATTGAATAGATTAAAAAACGTATATCTGCCAGCACGATGCGGAACCTTTTTTTTTTACCCTCTGTATGGCGGAACTATTTAGTTACGCACCGGAAGTTTCCAGGGTGACATTAGGACAGGACGAAAAGGAAGGCATGGTTTTTCTGATGTTGTTAGACCCCATGCGCCTCTAGTTTATGTGTATATATTTTTTATTTATGTGATAGTGTGTATATTAAACAGCGCAATGTTGGCGTGGAGCGGTCGGTTTCTTCTTCAGCGGGGGTCTGGGCTCATCTCTCTCCGAGCAGCAGCTGAAAGGTAATGCTAACTGGATGTTGTGCTAATGTAACTGTAGCTTCAGTATGTAATGTAAGCTTATCTAAAGTAGGTCGCTGTCGTTAATGAGGTGCAGTTTATTTATTTACTGCACTTTGCTGTTTTTAAACCAAGTCAATTATGTGTTAAGAAACTGGCTTTATGAGATAATTTAGTCATTTGAGTAAAGCTAAATCTAGCTTAATTGCCTCTGCTTACCTGTGACCAGTGGTGTAATGTAACAAAATCCATTTACTCAAGTACTGTACTTAAGTAAAATTATTAAATACTTTTACTTTACCTGAGTATTTTCAGTTTTTGCTACTTTAAACTAATACTTCACTACATTTTAAAAGCCAATATTGTACTTCTTACTCCTCTACATTTATTTGACAGCTTGTGTTGCTAAATTAGTTACTTTTTAGGTTTAGATTATTAGCTAATATAAATAAGTTAGTTTATAAACTTTGAGATATATATTCATATCTAAAGATATAAGCAGTATATCAAGTTATTCAAATTAGCTCTACATTTAACAGTTGTGATAAAAACACATTGGTACCTTAAGTATATTTTGATGCTGATACTTTTGTAATTTTACTCCAAATACGATTTTGAATGTAGGTCTTTTTTTAAGTATAGTATTGCTACTACTTAAGTAACACATCTGACTACTTCTTCCACCACTGCCTGTGAAGTTGAGTGTTATATCTATACTATATATATCATACTATTGCAAATATCTCCTACGGTTCTCCATGCATTTTGTGTAGTGTTTTTCATGTATGCAAAACTCTTCTTCCTTAGATATTTTTTATATTCTGCAAGATATACTGCAGAGAAAGTCATAAATGACTGAACGGATTAACCACACCACAGTCCCAGTCTTGTCAGTAATAAATGAGTAATATCTTGATAGCCATCTGCAAACAGACGTGGGCAGACGACAGAAGGTCAACAGGGTTTAATCAGACCTCATATTTTTTTTCTACGACGGAGTATTAGGGACAAGACTTAGAGAAAAAAAACAGAGAGATTTCGAGAATAAAGTCGTAATAATACGAGAATAAAGTTATAATTACGATAATAAAGTCGTAGTTTCATAAGTGACTTGAGAAGCGGACTTGGAGGAGATTGTCTCCTTTCTGCAGGAGGAAATGTCTGGTTCTGGCCGACTACATTACATTACATTTAGCTGACACTTTTATCCAAAGCGACTTACAATAAGTGCATTCGACCAACAAGATACAACCTTGAAGAAAACAGAATCATATGAGTACATCAGGTTTCATAGAGCTAAAACATTTCAAGTGCTACTCAACTGGCTTTAGATAAGCCAGTCCTTTATTAGTATATAAGTGCTTTGTTACTTGTCGCTCGAAGTGGAGACGAAAGAGATGAGTTTTCAGTCTGCGCCGGAAGATGTGTAAGCTTTCTGCTGTCCTGATTTCAATGGGGAGCTCATTCCGATTCCACTACAAGGCTATCGTTCGACTCCTTCTGGATCCAAAGCCTTGATTACAAGTCTCATCGTTTCTTGTGAAACAACAAATCCCCTTTGAACAGCTCGTAGACAACCTCCAAGGAAAGGAGACAATCTCCTCCAAGTCCATTTGGTTCTTTCTTCGAAATAATAGACATAGTTTCTTGCACAACCTTTTCAAAGTTCTAATACTTATGATAATCTGATGCTGATGTGCCAAAAGATTAAGTATTTCGTTATTTGAGAAACCTAAACTAAAGCACTGCTTCACAAGATGCTCCACATTCCTCATTGTATTGCAGGACGCTGCTGTTGTCTCCTTCTCAAGTCACTTATGAAACTACGACTTTATTCTCGTAACATTACGACTTTATTCTCATAATATTATGACTTTATTCTCGAAATCTCTCTGTTTTTGTTTTCTAAGTGTGGCTCTAATACTCCGTCGTACTAAAGCAATGATATTTACCAAAATGCATAAACTGTCCATATCAATGTGCGGACCTAAACCTGGTGTTACCTATTAGCAAGGACGCTGCAGTGACTAAACTGACTCGCTAAGCTAAAGTGAGTAGTAAGAGACGTGAAGCAACAAGGCACCTTTCAGTTAAGGTTATGCAGTGAATTCATAAATCGGCCCTGAGATAGGATTCTCCGAAAATGAGTCGTTTTGCGGTAAAAAATATCTATCTCTGTTCGGCTTAATTGTAAATGGCATTTATTTGAGTTTGAAGCTGTGCATCAGACAATAAGAACTCTACAAATTTGTTACCTCATATTGTAAGAAATTGGGATGGTCTCTAACTTAAATTACATCTAATTGAATTTTTTTTGTATATATATATATACATATATATGAAATAATGAACAAGCAAAGTCATCTTTAGTTCCCTGATATAAATAAGCACATTTGCGTGCAAAACTCTTGTATTGATCGGTCACAGTTGTGGATATGTGTCTGACTAGGGATGTAACGATATACCGAATATCGCGGTATCGCGGTAAATAAACTTCCCAATACCGTCGTGAGACTGAAAAAATCTACCGTGATTTAAAAAATTTTTTTTATTTTTTTTAAAAATATAATTTTTTTTAAACACTTTTTTTTTAAAAATCTTTATTTAACCAGGTGGTCCCATTGAGATCATCGATCTCTTTTTCAAGAGAGACCTGTCCAACATGGCAGCAAGTAGGTTACAACATGACAATAAAACAACAGATAACACAAAAGGACATTGTATTTACAGGGCTACATTTACACACCTAGAGAACCATATATTTATATCTCGCAATGTCAATAAGCCTGGCGTTAGACTTTTTCGCTGTCCGTCATTTTGACAGACAGGATCGTAAAATATCCGTCATAATCCCTTATTACCCGTCGGGTCTGAACAGTTCACGATAGAGCATGCTCGTGAACTGTCAACGGGGGGGGGCGGCGGTGTTATGCCGTGTGTGCATGCACCTCGCGGGACGCGCACACCGTAAAGCAAAACCTCCCAGACATGTATTGATCTGTACGGCAAAGTACGGTTTGGAAACTATATAATTTCCTTTTGGAGGGCATGCATAACACGGCATAACACCAGAGCCTGGCTGCGGGGAAACGTTGGCGCTGTTCCGAGTTTGTTATAATCTGTCAAAATGACAGACTGCTTTCAGATTTTTCCGTCATTGTTAAACAAAATATTCGGTTAACGCGACCACTGGTGTCCCAGCAACATCAGTACCAAGCGAGAGAGTTTTTTCCAGAGCAGGGGATATTGTAAATGCCCAAACATCCCAGCTTATAAATACCTGGAAATGTGGACATTCTCATATTCCTAAAAACCTGTCTGATGATGCTGAGTGAGTGACTAGTGAGTTTGAGTTGAGTTACTTGAAAAACTAAAGTGAAACTTGATTTATTTTTTTGCAGGGTCTGATTATTAAATGTCCTTGTTTATTTGTGAGATGCAGTGGCATAAAGAAAATGCTTACTTTGTTTGGTAGTAATAGTAGGTACAAAAACACTGGTTTTCTTGTTCCAGTCTGTTACCGTCACTTTGTTTTTGACACTTTAAAATACTGCTATCCTACAAAAATGCTGTAAAAATCTGATTTATTATGTAATAAAAAAACATTTTCCGAGTAAAAAATGTTTTATTGAAAAAAAAACATTTTAGAATTTTTTTTTCCTTCCCTTTATTATTCAATATCGCGATAAATACCGTACCGTGGACTTGTTATCGCGATATTATCGTACTGTGAGTTTTTGGTATCGTTACATCCCTACTATATTGTAATTATTTATATAGGCTTTTTCGATCAAAAATGTTCGGGGTCGGTCAGGGGGTCTTGGCTGAGAAAATGTTTCAAAGGGGGTACATTACTGAAAAAAGTTTGAGAAGCACTGATCTAAACAGCCAAAAAACGATGTCACATGTCATCCAGAGTCAACTAAACAGATTGATTGCCAGGTATGTTGTTGAGGACATGCTGCCCATCGCAACGGTCGAGTCTGTTGCATATATCAATGGGCCATAGAGAACAATACCCAACAACCGTGACTTCCCAAAACTGTCAAGAAAGACATAAGTAAATTTACGTGAAACATTACACAGACCCAGTTTACACTGGTTTTGCATACTAAAAAAACAACTAATGAACTTTTCACTTTTTTATCATAACCGATGTCATGATGGAGGAAACAAACGTACCTCGAGAAATTCGGACAAAAGAAACATACACTCTGTAAATAATTCTGACGAATTACACATAAGTCATTTACGTGAAGACTACACGGACCAATTTTCTTTTTATTTGGACCTTATAACTAAAGATTTTCGGTTTGGTTTACATTAACGATGTTGCGAACAAACGTGAAAAAAAGTCCTAAGAAAATTTACTTACGAATTAAACAAACAAAAATACGGTGAAAAAACTGCATGGAAACAATCTAACTTGTACCCTATGTTTTAACCGTAGAAAAAAGTTAGCGTCGATTATACACACCCAAATTTTTACACAGTGATGGGCGGAAAAATGTCGAGCGACTTACAGACCGGGTCGACTTAAAACTCTATATATTTTAGACCGGGTTTGACTTACACATTAACTTATCGGGACTGAATTGTCATGAAGAACTAAAAAATATAAGATATAAAGATAGTAACCGGAAGTGAAGACGGGGGATACGTTTCATACAACTGAGAATTTATAAAAAAGTAAAGGTTTATTTGTAATTAAGCTTGTTTTTATTGTAATAAATTGTTTTTATTAAGTTACTTGCCGAAATTGGTGATCGCCAGTGTGTTCAGTGTGCGATGACTATTCATGAAAACATAATATCACATCCTGTGAATACTAATATTTAGATTTACACATCAAAATAAGTACAAAATTGTACTAAACATGTTATACTGACTTTATCGACCACACGTACAAAATAACACAGACTGTGTAATTATAGCTAAACATTTTCGTAGTGTCTGTCTTTCCGTATCCCTACCCATGGCTCGGGCCATATTTGCCCGGGGCCCCGACTTAATAATTTCTCCCCTGGCACCATGGCAAATTCGAGGCTGCAATAGACAGAAAAATAGCGCATGACCCTCTGTAGCGATTTTTTTATATAACAGTACAATAATAACGCATGTGTTTGTACATATAACGTCAAACATCACAGCGGTCTGAGCAAAAGATTTGCGTTTTTCTGTCGTTTTTAACGCAGCTACTAATGAAAAATCATAAACAGCTAGAGAGAGGGCGGACGAACGCTCCCCTGCCCGTCAATGTGTGTGCGTCGAACGATGTACGTCGCGTTGTGTGTGTGCCCCCTCTTACCGCCTCTCTTGCGCGGCTCCAAACCAATTTGCAATGGGCAAGAGCTACACCCTGTTACCGCGCATGGTTTCTTCACGTTCAATTCTCCAAATCGTACATTCCCGCCATTGTGCTCGCGGTTACACACACGATTCTGTAAATAGGTTTTCACGTGGTGCTAAGTCTGCCTCTTTACGTGGCCCAAACTGAACCAGAAGATCATCGAGAGGGGTAGGTGCTCATTGCAAAAGGTGCAGTCCACAATACATACCGATCCGTCGTTGTGTGTCTCAATTGATGTAATAATGTTGTACCAATTACTAATCGTCAAACAACCCGCGTTCAAATGAATTTTTTTCATTGATCATATATCAATATCAATGACGAGAGTTTTTCATTGATAGAATTAAATAATCAATGATTTAAATATTTTCTTGATTGTGCAAGTAATGAAATTTTATTATTGTATTTTTATGCTTCCAAAAACACAACAAAAACCGACTGTCAACGC